ACCGTGCTAAAAAGTAAACAAACTCCGTTAGTTTCATTCGGCATTTGTTTAATAATAAATTTGCGCTGTGGCCCGAAATGGTAGCAAACAGAAATACAAATTTATTATAATAATAAATACAATTAAAAACAGGCTGTATAAAGAAGAAAAAAACAGTCAATTTTGATTTCGTGTTAAATGAATTATTCGTTTATACGGGTTTTCTAACTGATGTGAGAAATAAAAAACCGATTTTAAAACAAATTCGAGTCAATACACTTTTCAATTTCAACGCGAATTGAAATTTTGTTTATGCATCTGTTTTGAATCACACCGAACTGAGTCACAGCGCTTAATGTGTCGGTATAAACAACTTAAAGATAACTGTGCCATATGTCTAACGACAATGTTTTATAAAGTCGTATGCCGCACAATACCCTGTAGACATTTGTTCCATAAAAAATGCATAGAAAGCTTGTTATCAGCCGTGCCCAGGCTATGTGCAATTTGCCGATCTGAAATTAATAGTAAGTATTATGTTAAGTTATTATTTATGTACATACATATGTATATACATATGTGAAAAAACCTACACATAAATTTATGTAAATATGTTTTATCTTTTTATTAGGCATCGAGGATATAGAAAGAATGAAATACAAGAGGTACACTTCCAAAGATCGGGAGAGAATTGTTACTGTTGCGAATCGGGGGGAGGATTGGCCAGCATTAGCGGCATCGCTTGGTATAGCCTATAAAACTGCTTTTACCTGGGTGGCGAGTGGCAGAACTACAAAACATCCAATGGGAGGTAAAAAAAACCTACCAAGCTAGGAAACGAGCAGATTGATGAAATACTCCGTTGGATTGAGGAGGAGTGCAGTCTTACCTTCCGGCAAATACAGGCGAAAATTTTTAGTAATTTTAATATAACGCTATCATTGTCTACCATTAATAACTACCTCAAGGAAAAACGTACACTGTTAAACAAGTTCACATACAACCATGCACACTTAACTCACAACAAAACAAAAACACAATAACATAAATCATCAAACAAACAAAACAAAAACAAAAGAGTAGAATATGTAACCCAACTCAACACATACATACAAACCGGGAACAGCTTGTTTTCATTGACGAAACAAATTTCCATTTGTTTTGTCGACATACGCGTGGTCGTTCGAAAAAAGGCAATCGTGCGGGTCAGTTATTGCCAGCAGCGTTGCCATTTTAGCCGTTTTCCGGCTAGATTTAGCCGGTTGCGACAGCAAACAGCCGGAAAAAAATTCGATTTAGCCGGCAGCCGATTTGTTAGCCGTTTTGAAAAAAAAGTAGCCGTTTTTAGCCGATTTTGCTCTTCGCCTTATTTTATTAAAACTCAAATATACAAGTTTTTATTTTTACAAATTTAGTGTTCCAAAATCTATTAGAAATGACTAGTCTTATCGCTGAGAAAATTTTCATGTCGGACTGTGTTATATAAAATTGAAAAACAATCAGATAGTGAGCCGATTTCAATGTTTTTTCTTTTAAGCGAATGACCCAAATATACATAAACTGGGACGCGTCATTTTAGCAGATTAAAAAGTTACAAGTTTTGCTGAAATTTTGCAGAATTTTCATAATTTTTACACCAAGTGTGAAATCTGTTTGTAGTATATGTTGTTTGTTAAGTAATGAGCTACATATTCATAAAAAATAATAAATATTAAATAAACTAAAGAAAAATAGGCAAAACTTGCTTCAATTTTGCGTCCCAGTTTATATTTGGGAGAACGTAGCGGGAATTTTCTTAATAAAATGTAAATTTAAGTGTGAAGTTTTATTCGCTACACTTAGAAAATAAAAGAGCACGAATTTCGATGTGGAGCAAAACTCTCTGGGAAGACAATACATGGTGCAAACATACTTTTTAAATTTTATAAAATAAAACTGCAGTAGTTTTCATCTTTTGTGGATAATTCTTGTGACAAATACATAGTTTCGTGCTTATATTTTTGTATATAGATTTTTAGCAGCACCACATCTTTATCAGAAAATTCCGAGAATCCAAAAATTGGTACAAGCTGCAGGCATCATTTTAACTCGACCTCTTTTCTGTCCCACGGATAGTGGTACATCTTTCATANAAAATTGGTACTGTTACAAGCTGCAGGCATCATTTTAACTCGACCTCTTTTCTGTCCCACGGATAGTGGTACATCTTTCATAGTTTAAAGATATTTCGCGTCAGCAATTTGTTATCAACCTACGTACCCTACCTCGGAAAAGCAAAAAACTTTATATTCGAACGTTTGCTCAGGTGTACCGAATCCTGGCAGTTTGGAAACGCGCAACACTTTTAATATTTTCATCGAACTTCACAACTTCAAATTTTTGAAGTGAAACTTCTTTAGCGGCGGTTGGTTGGTTGGAAGTAAATTGGCAAATTCAGCGGAAATTGCACACGGATCTGGTTGGGACGGAAATGATGCAACGGAAGTGATGCAACGGAAATGGTGCAACGGAAATGATTGGGGCTGAAACAAGTACTTCTTGTGTATATGCAACGGAAATGATGCA